AGAGAAATATATGAGTACTCAAGTTAAAAAATACACTGTAAGTGTGAAACATTGTGATTAAAAATATATCTATGCCAGGATACATCAAATTGAAACTGTGGCCAGTTCTTAAACTGTTAAATTGACAGCTGACTTCTTATGAATATTAATGGCTGATAGATGATAATGAATATTAAAATTCAGAGTACTGAGGGAAAATAATTTTTAACCTCAGTTCATACTCAACTTTCATTCCAGAATGAGGACAAAAATAAGATCCATACAAAAATCTAAGATATCTTGATGCCAATATTCACTGGAAAAAATATTTCTTTGTAGTTCAATAAGAAAAAGAAATGAATATGGGGGGAATGTGTACTATTCAAAAATTAATACCAAACACAAAAACTTATAAAATACCAGTGAATTTCATTATTTAATAAATACTTCTTTTATGTGATTAAAATTAAATAATATCTCCAACGTGATCAGAATGAGAAAACATTGTTCAATGAGTAGTAAAGCCTATTTTTTGGTGAAAACTATATATTTTTGTGAACATTATTTTTTAGGAAATTCTGTAGTCAAGAAAATATTTTTTAATTTAAAGTACTGCCTAGCTAACAAATAAAATTTATAGATTCAAAGGAAGCAGAAAGAGAAACAGAGAGGATTAGATAACTTTAGGAAACTATCAGTCTAACAAAAGTTGGAGAAAGAAACTATTTAAAAAATAAAGAAGAGACATAAATGTATCATAATTTAAATTACAAAATATTTAGACCTGTATAACAATGACACATGAAAACTTGGGGTTTGCTGCTAAGGTAGTTTTGGAAAAAACTAGTGGCCTTACATAAATATGTTTTATAAAAAAGAAAGATCTAAAATACATTAATTAATTCCATTTAAAAAAAGAACAGATGTCCCTAAAGAAAAAAAGTAAAATGAAGGAAGTATAAAGAAAAATAAGAGAAGGGATCAATTAAATAGAGAACAAAAATATACAGGGAAATTATAATGTACTTTTTAAGTAAACAGACAAATCTCTAGCAAGAATGATCAAAGAAAACAGTAGAAAAGGCACAAATATATAATATTAGGAATAAAAGGGAGCTATACTTAGAGCTGTGAAAGACTTTTAAAACCAGAAGACATTCCTAGGAAGAACTTCGTGCTTATAAATTTAGAAACTAAAAGGAAATGATATTTGTATAGGCAATATAGTTTCCTAAAGCTGACTCACAAAAGTAAAATGAATAAACAAATAAACATTAAAAATTAAAGCAGTGATCAGATTTATTTTCCACCCTTCAAAGATAGCCCGAGAAGTTTGTATAAACATAGAGTACGACAATAGAATAGAATAGTGTCGATACAGTAACAAATATATATAGGAATTTGCAATATAATAAAACTCAATATTAAAATCACTAGTAAAATGATAAACTACTTAATAAATAATATTGCACAGTTGTTATCCAGGTGGAATGGAAGGCTTACAATGTACACAAAAATAAATTCCAGGTCGATTTCCGCATTAAATATGAAACTCATAACTTTAGAACTTTGAAAGGAAATACAGAAGAATAATCTTATTATTTGAAGGTAAGGAATATTATCTTAAAAAATTCATAAAGAACACCACCTGAGCTTGATGCCACCTGTTTCTGCCCCGTAGAATGGGAGCGTCATGGCAATGTGCTTCATAAAGGGCTCCCTGGTACTCAGGCTCTCAGTTGGTTTTGCTAAACGGGAGTCACTGACAGGAAGTCTCAGGACAGAAGAAACCTGAGGATGGGATAGTGATTTCCACTTCCCTTGACACCTGGCTGGAGCATGTTGCCTGCCTCCCTGTGCACTAGACTGCAGCTCCTGTCAGCCATCCGCCTCCTTCCGGCCCCTTCTCCAAACTCCAGGCTTGGCTCTATTCTTGATGCCTTCACTTCGAGGAAGCATTGCTGTTACTTGTGCTTGGGGACTGTTTTATACCTTGTTAGTTTCCCAAACCCTAGTCACATCTTTATAAACTGTCCCAAACAATTTTACGAGTGTGAATACGTCACGTTTTTCTCCAAGACTGTAGCTGATAAATAAATTAATAAGGAAAGAGTGATAAAAATTGATTTATCACTTGTGCATGATAAAACAACCAGACTGTCCTGACCAGTGTGACTCAGTTCACTGGGCATCAGCCCACAAAGCAAAGGGTCACTGGTTCGATTCTGAGCCAGAGCACATGCCTGGGTTGCTGGTTCAGTCCCGGGTCAGCCAGGTGCATACAGGAGACAACTGATCAATGTTTCTCGTTCACATGGATATTTCTCTCCTCTTCCTCCCTCCCTTTCCTTCTCTCTGAAAATAAATAAATAAAATCTTTAAAAAATAAATAATAAAACAACCACACCTCCAGCAAATGGAAAGGGAAAGGAAGGGGAGGGGAGAGGAGATCACAGAAAGGTTCTTGTAATGCTTATAACTCTCAAAGAATTACCTTCCAAAATCCATGAAGAATTACAACTCAATAAAAAAAAATCGGAAAGAACTGAAAATGGAAATTCATGAAAAGAAAACTGTGAGAATGTTGTGTAATGCTTGTACATAAAACAGCATTATTCCAAGTAATTTCAGTCTCCAATAGTTTGCTCCTTTTCCACAGGCTTGGATGTACATGCATGATCTCCAAATAGGTGTGTTTTTCCATCACAACTGACTTTCAGGTTGGCTTAAAGCAATACTGCTGCTCTTACTGCCTCACCTTTGTTTAATGAGAGCCATTTCCTTCCTAATGCCAGCGTTTGGTTAATGGACTGAGATGGGAGAAATTTCTAACGTATCTCTCCGTTTACAGCAGATTGCCTTTCTGCCTCGTGGCTTTAATCACTCAATCCTACTCACATCTGCCATAATAACGATTATGGGTTTTCTACTGACTTCTTACCCAGGAGGATATGTCAGAGGATAGCAACATCTCCCACAGAAAGGAAGGGCAAATTCTTAATCTCTTTCCAGCATCATAGGTAATAATTTTCCTGTGCAAATCCCCAAGGAGGACTGCTTTTGGCTTTCATACCCACCATTCCCAAATGTCTGTGGCTCTGTTCTGATTTATGCATTTTCTCCTATCCTCTCTCTTCAGAGGTAAGTTTTAATTATGTAGACAGATCGTAAAAGTCTCTTTCTTCTTGTAAACAACTATTTCTTTTTTAGTAGTAGATTTTGTTTAACTGGTTTCCCCCTATCTGAATTTTCTTGTGTACCCAGGACTTATCTGCTCATTGTTTAACTGTAGCATTAATAGGAGAGAAAGCTGGCTTCTCTTCACAGCTTTCCTTGAGGGATTCAGCTTTGGAACACCTCATATTGCATTTCTCCCTCAGAAACTGATTTTCTTTGTGTGTGCTTGGAAAGCCCAAAATATTTTAGTTTTAAATCATTATAAGAGCAAAGTATCACCTATCAAACAAGCAGCAGTTTTTCTTCTACTTATTTACAAACTTTCCCTACTACCAAAATCAAGAAATGCCTGAAATCCCCAAAAGCATTCATGAAAATGTTAATTAACTGTGGCTCCTTCCTCAGGGAACTCAGAGAAGTGGATTTGAGAAAGCTCCTCAGGTCACGCTGACAACCACTGCTCTTACTCCAGGCCTTTCCGTGTAATCGTTAAAATATGAAGAAAACAATGTATTTACAATGTGACTTTTTGTTGTTGTTCTGTATAAAAACTTCTAACTATTTGGTGAATTTATTTTTCCTAGTTGGGAGATTGCTCCACTACATTGACTTCTCCTTCTGACCTCATAGGTTACCTTTGTAGACCAATGTTTGTGTGAAAATTGGTTTTGCCAAGGATAGCTAAATGTTATCTTTCAACCTGCCTAGCACTTTCCCACAGCAGTTTTTAACTTTACTTGGTGCCTCACCAAAGCCTCTTTAAAAGGCAAAATCAGTATTCTCCCAGAGGTGTTTGAGGCATATATGGAGCGAGGAAAATGGAGAGAGAGATCATTTTAAGACACAGCAATGCGTGTTATGTCTTCACATTGAGGAAACATTTATTCATCTCATCCAAAGAGGAGGTATGGTCTGCGGCCAAGTGGCAGATCCAAGGTCTTTGGCTAACATTAGATACAAAGCCATGACCTTGGCCTTGTCAACCAGGCTATGTGAGCTCATATTTGTTTGGCAGTTCACGGGGAGAAGGGCTTCTTAACTCAGGTTTCAATGAGGGTTCACAAACAAGCTGATATCTTATGCAAGATTTTGTGTGTACTTATATTTTTCTAAGGAGATGTTTACATTTTCAGTGGATTATCAATAGTCGGTATGACTTTTTTAAAAAGGTTAATTACACTAAGTGAAATTGTTCTAACAAAAAAATCATTTCAGTATTTCTTTAAATAAAGAAATCTTTTATTACTGAGGTAGATTTCTGTAACCTGAGATAGATTCTGAACTCTTGTGTTATTATGAGAGACATCCTTGAATTCTGACCATTTAATATTTATCTTTTTTATGCCTTTAAGAGATGTAAAATGTGCCCTATAAGCTGGAGAAATCTATTACTTTTACATGAGAGAGAAATGGTAGGTTGAACCCTCCATTTTTGAACTTTATATATTTGTGGGACATGAAGTGGTTTTTTTCCTTTATTCCATGAACATGTTTTTCAAAATGCCTTCTTCAGCAATTCCTTCTGAGTCTTCTTTCACCTCATGATCATTTTAAGGGATCCTGAACCCTGCTTTACTCTTCACAGTATAAGAGTGTTTACATCTGGCCATACTTCACCTAATTAAATGTTAGGATGTTACTTATTAACTGTAGGATAATACATTCCTTACATAAGGTATACAATAGAAAATTGCCACTCTAGAGATATCTGCTAGTTTCTTCTATCTTTGAAGCATTAACAGTTCATGTAAGTCTTAGAATTATTGATACATTGAATATTTACACTGTATTTGGGGAAAATGTCATCACTGAGGTAAAATGTGGATTTTTTTTTTAAATCGAAGGTTATTTCATGGGACAAGCACTTAAAAGAACGAGAAAGTATTGAAGCTCTATGGAAGACAAATCATGTGGTCTTCAGAACTGAGGAGAAATGCAGCCATCTGAAATGGTCATGAATCCCAAACAAGTCTTCCTCTCGGTTCTGATATTTGGAGTGGCAGGGCTACTCCTCTTCATGTATTTGCAAATCTGGATTGAAGAACAACACACAGGTAACACATTGACTTCTTTTTCCTATTTTAATTATAATGGTCATTTTCTATTAAATAATCTGTGATGTTTACAGACATATAGAAAGTGATAATATTTCTAACAACAGAAATTAGACACAAGCCGAATTCCCTAGCTCCTAAAAGGAAGGATGATTATCCAGGTCTGGTGGGCATTTGCTTGGTGGCTTAGGACAACACTTGGAATTTTTGTTACCTCGGCCAGGAGCATCAAGGGCCATTAGCCTAGCAAGGACTGCTCGTGGTGAATGTGTCTTCTGGGATATGCAGCTTTTATCCTACCTACGGCGTGTCCACTAAGCTCTGGGCATGAGCCTAAAGGGAGCTAGCTAGACATTAAACTCGCTCTCTCTTAGGTACTTCCTAGTTTTTTTGCTGACACTCAAAATTGGAGTGGAAATTTTGTAACACCTTTACTTTAAAGCAGGGGATGGCAAACTTTTCTGTAAATGAATAGTTAGAAAATATTTTGAGCTTTACAGGCCATACCATCTATATCACAACTACTTAACTCTGCCAGTGTATCACAAAAGCAGTGCTAGATTACATGTGAACAAATGGAGCAGGTTGTGTTCCAATAGAACTTTATTTACAAAAACAAGTGGTGGGAGCCAAATTTGCTCCAAAAACAGGAGTTTGCTGATCCTTGCTATATTTATCTTATATTTTCATCATTCAGTTTGTAATTACTGCACATTGGAGGCACTTGATTACTGTTAAAATAGTTTATGTTTATAATGATAATAGGAAATGGATTATTTTTTATAATGATTAAAAGAAATGTTTTAGAACATTATAGATATATATATTCACCAAGGTGGTATGAAATTCAGTTGTTTTTCAGTAGTAGAAATAGTTGATGGCTTATGATTGTTAACAGAAATAAAGTAAAAACAGAATAATTTCTTGTTTCCAGTTGTTGCCAATTTCAAAAACTATTCTAGGTTTAAAGCCCTTAAAAATCTACTCTAAAAGATCATTCAATATTGAGTCACAAATATCACTTTAAAAGCTGTTTCCCTTTTTAAATACCTTTTCTTTGTTAATCCTCATAGACACTGTGGATTTATTTAATTTATATAGTAACCCTTGGGAAGGGAGTTTGCATATAATTATTTTCTAGAGAATATGTAACATATTGCCAAAAGGTATTCTTAATTCCCATTACAATTTATATAAACTATAATATTTCTGTTTTCTATGTTACTGCAATCATTTATTATAACATAATATTTAATTAAACCATCTATGAAAAAGTATAAAGGATAATTCCTTATACAGTACAACTCCTGGCATAGACCTTGTCACATAGTAAGGCTCCAGTAGATGTTTGTTGAAGGAGTAAATAAAAGAATGAGTGAATAGATTGAAAACTTACTGCAGAATACAGACTGGAAAGCAGCAAAGGAGAAAAACATCAGAGATCTCATTATTAGGAGGTTGGCTAATGTCATAGTCTCATGACAAATTTCACCAGAAAAGTGTCATAACAAGTCTCCAATATGCAAAAGAAAATATATTCATAAATACAGACTAATGGAATAATGTTATGATTTAGTTATGGCAATAAGAAACTACATGATATCGAAAGAAACAGTCAAGTCATATAATAGTGTTTTACACATATAATGCAATTTACAAAATTTTTTTTCATGAGCATTGTTGGTAGCTTCCAATTACAAGCTTAGTAAGTGCTGAATGAATGTTTACATACATCCTCTCTAATGTTAACAATGTCTTACTAGGTGTGACATTCTAAGTTTATAGATGACAAAACTGCCATTCAGGCAGACAGGGAACTTATCCAAGGCCTCACCTGTGTAGTCCTAGGTGCAGAGGGAAATCTAGGACTTGTTTTGTGGTGCTCCAAAGTCCATGCCTCTACCCTGTACAGTGCTTCTGTGAGGAGAAAAGGTGAATATTATTATCTCCTAGACTAGAAACAAAGCAACCCAGTCTTGGAAACTATAAGGTACAGAGCTAAGAGTTTTCAAAGTATAACCCCTGCCCAGGTTTTCCTACTTCTCTTGAGCCCTGAAAGAGCCTCACTGAAAAAAGATAAACATATAATAAATGCCAAAGTATCAGTACAGGTGGTTCAAAATCACTGACTTGGTACACTTAAGCTATACACAAGTTCATGGATTTGTAATCTCCTCTGAAAGTTAAATTCTTAATTGAGTTCATAATTCTTCCAAGTTGAGAAATTATTTTCCCTAATTAAGATGAGTTGGTAAAACATTTACCTTTTTTTTTTTGTAGTTTTTACTTGGAATTCGCTAGAAGTACTTTCTCTGATATCATAAATGAATTACTTACTATTTCACAATCTACTCATGACAGTGAGTATAAACTGTGGAACAGGATTTCTTTAGATAACTATTTTACTGAAGAAAGGTATTATTATTCTTCAGGAAGGCTTCCACCTGTATTTTTGCCTTAAACCAGGCCAGTACCCTGGGTTGTAATTCTGTTGTTTTGTAGACAGACAGATACATGTGTATTTTATACGTATTTGAAGTAACATCAGGAGCATCAAACATTTTTAAAGGCAGTCTCTTTTTAAATCAGAAAATATGGAAGTGCGGGCTTTGATGTTAACTTAAAAATGAGAAAATCTGTCTTTTAGACACTTCAGAACTGTCACTAAAACAACCTGGGAGAATGAGTTGGTTTTGTTTCCAGGGACCTTCTACAAGTAAAGCAGATTTAAAAATCTGAAACGGTTTTGATCTCTAATACATATCAGTTGAAAATGAGAACTTGTAAGTTCTTTTTGTGCCTTTTAGTCCTAGCATAGATCTTGTCACATAGTAAAGACTATTTTCTATGCCTTCCTAGTTTTCCTAGGTTCGTCTGTTAAAATAAAATGCTTCAGAATTACAAAAAAAAATCCCTAAAATATGCTCTGATATGTTAATAAAATATTATAAATGCACAAGATTTTTTGAAGGTGAAGAAGAAAAATGTATGACAGAGAAATTAAATTCTATCCAGTTATACAACAGAGATGTTCCATAATAACATCCATTTTCAGTACCATCACCAATTAATTTATGCATTTTTGTTCTGATTTGCCATATGCGATATATTAGCATGAATTTTATTTTGTACAATTTTTTCCTAGTTGTTAAGGGTACAAGCTTTACATTCAGAGGAATCTTGAAAATCTCAGGACTACCTTTTAGCTGTGTGACCCTAGGCAAATTGGCATCTCTAAGCCTCAGTTTCCTCATCTGTGAAATGGGGACAATAATGTTTTCCACATAGGACTGCAGTGAGAATAAAAAGAGACAATACCTGCAAGCACTTAACATGGTGTCTGCAAGCATTGAGTAGTGTGCAATGAATGTGAACTGTTATTACTACCCAGGAAATGGTGCAAAGCATCTTGCTTTTTCTCAGTTATCTCTATTAGACTCAGCCACAGTTCAGAAAAACAATCCCAAGTTTATGCCTTGACTGATTAAGGGGGGAAAAAAGGCTCAGCCTCAGCTTCAGTTCAATTAGTTGGGAGAATCTCACTGGCACAGAGCCATCGTGTTTCACAATGTAGAAGTTGGAAGGATAATGATAGGATTGAATGCAGAGAGCAGAGCCAGTGACCTGGAGGATCTCGTGTCCCCACAAGCTGCCCAAGGTCAGAGTATTCATTCATTCAACAGTGTGTTTTAAAGACTTAAAGATCAGAGGTGCCAAAACTGTAGTGAATACAGAGATATAATAGAGGACCAGATAGAATCCCTGTTCTCAAGGAGACTATAGTCTCATGGATTGTAAGAGAAAATGGTCTTGAGTCCAGGCCAAGGTGTTGGTATAAAAAGATAGTCCATTGTGACAAGAAGGAGACAGGCCCTCCATTATGAAGCAAAATAATGAGCTGAAACTAAGAGAAAGAGCCCAATCAGGTTTTAATGATGAAAGTGCTGACCAGATAGAAACTTTAAGTTTAGAAGGAGTATTGTAAGGGCTGGGGCAGGGGGAGCAGGTGTAGAGGACCAGCTCAGAGCAAACAGATACATCTCTGGGAAAGAGGCAATAATGAGGAGGGCCAGTTCAGGATAAATCACCAGACTGGGTCTTTCTCCCCCCAGCTGCTGTTAAATGAAACAAAGAGCAAAAGGGGTGGTACCTACCCTTTGTCTGTACGATAAGACAGGGTTAAGACTCAGTTATAATAGAGTCAGAATCTCAGCTTAGAAAAGAATGTAAAGATTATCTTGTATACCACCTCTTTTTTATATTTAAAAAATGTAAATCTGATTACATCACTCCCCTGTGTAAAACTTTTCAATGCTGTCTCATTCCCTTTAACAAAAACTCTCTGGGGCCCGCAAGTCTGGGTTGGGTGTAACAGCTGCCTACCTCTGCAGCCTCACCCTCCATCCTCTCGTGATGCTTCTCGCTTGGTCTCTGTCGCTTAGCCAGACAGGCCCTTCGCTGACTCAGCGCTCTCATAGTCTCAAAAGCTGGGGTGCTTTTCTCCCACCTCCCACCTGTCAGGGCTTAGCTCCAATGTCAGCTACTTTGGTCGCTCCCTTACCCCCACAACCCCCACAGCCACCTCCTCTGCCCCCATCTTATTTATTTATGTCACAGAAATGGTCATAGTTAGCAATTGCCTTGTTCAATGATGTTGATTTAATTATCCACTTACAGTCTGCATTCATTAATGTTTTATAAATTACATGAGTGCGTAGATCTTGTGTATCTCACTTACCTTGATGTCCCTATTCCACAGCATGAAACATATATTTGGTAGGTGCTTAATAGTGTTGTTGTACCGGGTGCATAAATAATGCCTTCGTTGGTTTTCCAATGTCCAGCCAAATGACTGTGTAGACTGTGTTTGAATGCATATGGGAATAAAGAATCTGCTGCTCATCGAGGCAGCCATTCAACTTTATAGCCACCTCCTTGGGAATCTCCATATTTTAAGCCAGGACTCACCTCCTTAAGTTGTGCTTTACTTGTCCTCGTTG